TGACATTGTAAAGATATTTTAGAAATCTCAGATTTGGAATGACCAACTTTTCTTGCTATGGCTGCTATTGACCTTCATCTGGACAACCTACTGTTGGAGGGTTTCAGTCACTTTAGAACAGCTCACCGTCTTGCAAAGTCAGTGATAACTGGAAAGTTAGGCTGCCAGTTAAGTAGTTGTTGTCATATAATTAAGGAAATTAGAACCAAATGCCAGATTAACACCAATAACTGGGAGGTATCTGAAAATATTCTCTAATTTTCATCAGTGTTCTTTTTCAGAAATCTAATTTTTTCCGTTTTTGATCCTGTGCTTCAGAATATATTTGAACTCATGTAAAAAAATATGCTTTAAAAATGCTCTTCTACTCCTGATAGAATAACTTCAAGTAAGACTAAGCAGTGACCCCGAAATTTAGGAAATTGTATTGCTCTCTAATTTTGATCTCCACCGTATATGTAATATTTTACTTCATAGTATCTTTATGCATATCTCCATACAACTTAAATTACAGTTCAAGGCAGTATACCACTCTTTTTCCGGTTTCAGTATTTAAGTCTGATTTTACTCTACACTTTGCCTGACCCGGGTGAACTCAGCTGAGCTCAGATCCCAGCTGAGCATCACAAGCTTGAGATACCCCCAAAAAACAGACACAGCACAGCTCTGTGTCGTGTCTCATCCCTGACCTTTTGAAAGGATGATAGAGATACACTGAATTTTAGGCTTGTTGGACAGTTGACTTTGTGGTCTGGGCTTATATAAGTGTGGTCAGGGGCTGGAGACACAAAGGCAGCAGCTGTGGGATTGTGCCTTTAGTATTCCCAGCCAGAAGGGGACAGCATGTTCCTCGGGTCTCTGAGAAACCAACCAACCACACACACACACAGTCTCTCTCTTTTGTGCTCACTCTCCACTCTGATCACACAGCACTGCAGCGAGACACACAAGGCACGTTTGATCACCACAACAGGAGAGAGGGAGAGGGAGAGAGAAAGGAAACAGATATGCGTGGATAGACATACAGAGTGATGGGGGATAAGAATGGAGAGAGAGAGAGAGAGAGAAGAGACAGAGTGAGGTGTCAAATGGAGAGGTAGCAGGAAAGAGAAGGCTGGAGATGGGTAGACAGACACTGACAGGTACACAGCAAGGGGCTAATACCTAACATCATGTCTCACAGCAAGATGCAGATATTGACACTCCGGGTAAGAAAAAGAGAGAGACGGATCCAAAAGAGAGATCCAATACAAAGACAATATTTGAAGAATCAAACCAAAATTTATACTAAGAGTGATTTTATTGCTGGAGGTCACCAGGCCACTGTTGTTTCTTGCTGGAGTGCTGCATAACTGGCCATAGCTTTTGATAACGAAAAATGAAATTTACTGCTGATAAAAATAAGATTTATTGCTGCAAATATGAACATTTTGCAGAAAAAAAAGAATTGTATAAACTGTAGCAGTGAATAATGCATCAAATCTTTGACTAGTTGAACAATTATCATTTTATGAATAAAAATTTCTGACATGGTTTCAATAAGTGGGCTGAGACTAATCATATAGAACAGTGAAATGCTTTTAAAGGGTAGTCTGATAGTCTGGCTAAAAATACAAATTCTGCCATCCTTTTACTCACCCTCATGTCGTTCCAAACAGTTTTGTTTCCCACTGACTTCCATTGTATTTTTTGTCAATAAAATGGAAGTCAATGGGAACCAAAACTGTTTCCAACATTCTTCAAAACATCTTTTGTGTTCAAAAGAAAAAACTCATTCAGGTTTGGGACAACATGACGATGAGGAAATTATTACATAATTTTAATTTTTGGGTGAAGTGTTCCTTTCAGAGCCATCCAAAAACTGGAAAAATATCCTTTATAATATAATGAAATATGTGCAATTTACTTGCAAATATTTTTTCCTTCAAAGGGTGGACCGTACATGAATTAGAAAATGATCATTGAAAATGAACAACTTCTGGTCACTTAGTTGCTGTAATTCTCTGTAAGTGTGAACAGAGCTTCAGGCGATATAGAGGGGAAAAAAGACACTCTTTAGAAATGGAATATCTCTACTTTCTAATACTCTTTTTAAGGGCTGACAGTTTGTGCCTCCCAGCCACAGAAGGGGATCATTGGAGAGGGAAATGTAGGTCTCGCTGTATGCCTTCAGCCACATCGCCAATGTCCACACACATACACACTGACATCACTGCAAACCCTGCACTCAAATCACCGCCTGCGTCTCTGCATTACTGCATTCTTACTTTGAATAAAGCAGATAGTCTCATTTTCTTTAGTCCCTTGTTTGGTATACATATTTGAATTGTGTATAATCCCAAAGGAAATTAAAATCATAAAGGAGAAGTGTTTGAAAAAGTGCACTCAGTAGTTTTTTGTCCATGTTTAAAAAATAAATAAAAAATCATACAAAAATAAATTTACTTTTGAAAAGTCAATAAAAGGCTAGTAACCAAAATTACTGAGCTCCCCTCTAATGTTTCCTTTTCCTAGACAGCAATACATTAAAAAAATATTATATATTTAGCTTAAGTCTTATATTTCTCAAATTTTTCTCATCATATTCTTCTAAGAACAAATGAAAGAAGCAATGCCACATTTTTTTTCTACATTTATCATCTGAATTGTGTCACTATATTCTTGTTTAATTTGCATTAAGGAATTTTAGGGAAAAAATCTGAGACAAACATTATTCTTCAAAATTTTACTATGGGATTTACAGGAAGTTCTGTTGTTTGTCTAATGTCACTAAAATATAACTCCCATAAACTGTAAAAGATATGAATTCAGTGGTTCTCAAACATTTTGATTCCAAAGCCCCTAATTGTCTACAACAATATTCAATTACAGTTGTTTGTGATTTACTAGATAAGATAAGAAAAAAAAAAATCACAATTTTCTAAATTTCTACCCAGTTGTTCAGGGGATGAATAAAAATGAGAAATATCTTTATTTGTTATTATTTTCATGCTTGTTTTGTTTCACTTAAATTCAAATTCATCCTGCTGCCCCCTTGGAAGTTTGCTTATGCCCCCTATTGTATGAAGGTAAAACAGTAGCAAAACTTGAATGCTTGTTGATTTGAATGTGAGAACTTGTCATAATGTTAATAATGATATTTGTATAAAAGGGCTTCATCCCCACCCCCATTTCTGCTCTCTCGCATCTGCATTTAAGTGCACAAGTGAGTTTTGCTACAGGAATACCGTGAAAGGAGTAGCAAAAGTCAAAGCGCTAAGATCTGAACTTGATCTGCAAGATCTGAGAGGTTGTACAGCGAAACTGAAGTAAAGTGCAAAAGTAAATATGTTGTTCACATTTATGTCTCATTTTGTTTGTGAATGTCATTTTACACATTTCTGCAACTTCGAATGCAAAACATGGGTGTTTTTAGTATTGTCTGTGTGTGCAAATCGAAAGATTCAGCTGTTCACATCAGAGCTGTGAGTGTAAATTTTAGCTTACAAATACGAATATTAATATGACAAGTTATCACATTTACATCAACAAGCTCTCGAGTTTTGCTACTGTTTTACCCCCTGGTTGCAAACTAAAATCTGTCTAAACACAAAAGCTCAGAGGCAGCGAACATGCCGCTTCAGTATGTACTGCCATCCCATAGTCTGAGAGACAGCGGCTCATTTAGAGGAAACTAAAGAGTGAGCATGTTCATTCATCAGCCAGTAATCTTGATCTCGAGAACAAAGAGGCTATTACATGATGATTGATTTGTCTGTTTAAATCTGTTGATTTTTTTCCCCCCTTTTTCCACAATGTTGTAATGAGGAGAGAGGGAGCTGGGGGCTAGAATTTGATTTGCCGGATGAGAAGAATGGGAAAGTTGATGCAAGAGAGACGTCGGAATGTGATGAAGGAGAAAAAGGACAGAGCGAGTGATGAATGTGTAACGGAGAGGAGGATAGATGTAAAAGACAGCGAGAGGAAAAGAAAGGAGCAAGAGCGATAGATGGGGGAGGGGGTGTAGTATGCAAGTGGATGATTCACAGAGGGAGGGGAAAATGAGAGATTGTGCAGGGGAGGCAAATTAAGGACAAGCATGTTGGCCCAACAAGATGGAGGGAGATGGATGAGGGAATACATAGAGTGGGAGAATGAGGGAAGCATTTTAATTCAGAGAACTGAAAAAGGCATAAAACACAGCTTGCGTGTGGTTGTAATTTCGCTCTCTCTCTGCCTCCTTGGTCGAGGGAAGACTTGCAAAATGGCTGTCGCTTATAGATGGCGGGTCAGATTTCGGCATATATTAAGAAGGCATGAATCCAATATGTATAGCAGCAAAAAAAATTATCTGCCTGAGAAAATGTATTCCTCACAGGAAAGCTTGTTGTCTAGATGGACATATTCCCTTATTGAGCATGAATTCATGCTTTGAAAGTAAAATCAAGCCCTCTGCTGCTCTCTGAAGCTATTCTGTCCTACGTGTAAATCCGAACCTGTTACATGAAGGTCTGCGGGAATGAAAGTGATGCTTTTAGCATGCTAGAACGCTTGAGTAGGTCACATGTTTTATTACAAACCTGTGTTCTGTTTCTCTGGAACATGGCACACTTTCCCGCCACATCCTTTTTTCCCTCAATTTTTCTGGGTTCGCTCCATCAAAGCGAATCATTCACACCCATTATTAGCGCTTTACATACTTAAGAGACCGTTTCCCACATATAGATGAGCCTGGAACAGATGAGTAATTACGTGGCCTGTTACTTCACTTCCCTACTGTTACTTACTCACGTCTGACTCATTTGGAAAGCCTCGTGCTCGCTCACAACAGGGCCTGCTTTCCTGCTGGTTTGAATGGCGCTCGAGACTTCGTCAGGTGCGTGAGGGTTTGCAAACACAGAGAAGCAGCGAGTTTGTTCCCCCTTGGGTTTGTCTGTTTATTCATCAGGACTTGATGCATCCAAGTTTAGGATCATTCTGTTTTGGCACCTTTAGAATTTCATTTCAAAGAAAACGATTGCAGACTGGGCTATTTCTTACTGAATACCTTACTGCAGTGGTTCACAGTTTTTTTTAAAAATGCAAATAACAAATGAGCAAATAAATAAATATGATGAATATAGTGGCGAGGGGAAGAAGACTTATGAGGGAGCAGTAGCTTGCTGATCCATGTAGACCGATGGGTGGTGAAATGCTTCCTTAACAAAAACATATCAAATCAATGCCACAAGCTACAGCTCCCGTGTGACGGGCCGAAAGAACCCCTCTGCATATCTCTTATAGCCTCTCTCCATTTCAAACCAGCCTCATTTTGTCAATGGCAAAATCATGCATACATATGTAATCTTTGATCGAAAAGTAAAAATCCTCCCGGTTTCTCCAAATCACGAAAACGCATGGTACATGAAGTTTTATCTGTAATATTTCGGGCCTCTGCCCCCTCTCTGCCCTGCTCCCGTCTCCCTCTCCTAGCGATCTCTATGGGGGGAGGTTGTGCCTCATACGGGGGTGGTGCGTCGGTTGGCTGTGTTAGTGTGGGATGAGTCTTTCAAGTCCTTCTGGATGCAGTTGTGGACCTGCAGGAAGTTGTGGTCCCTCTCCGAATTGTAGGTGGCGGTGGGAGTGCCGTGGCTGCCCTTTAGAGTGTCGCCCCCGCGGGTGAGTGTGTACATGGAGATCTCGGTGGAGGGCAGAGCCCCGAAACCCTTCAAGCCCACCGGCGAGGCGTCGCGGGAGTGCGAGGGGTCTGTGGAGCGGGATGAGGAGCGGGAGCGGCGCCGGTAGCGGTACCGGTAGCTGGGGATGCGCGTGATAGCCGAGCCCTGCAGGTAATCTGCGGCCCGCGTGCCTGCCCGCAGCTCCCTGTGCCGGTCGATGAACATGTGCACGGCCAGCACGCCCACCATTTCAGCCATGATAAAGGACAAAGCACCAAAGTAGAAACTCCAGCCATACGAGTAGCTGTTCTTCTTGGAGTCGCTCTTTGAGGGATCCCCCGCATTGGCTGATATGTACACGATCATGCCAATGATGTTACTGAGGCCTGTGGGGAAGAGAGGAGATATTTTAACCCCATAGTTATGACTAAAATGCTTTTTCACAATCTACACTCTCAGAAAAAGGGTACAAAAGCTGTCTCTGGAGTGGTACCCTTTCACCATATTTGCCCCTAAAGGGTGTATATTAGTACCTTAAAGGGACACATTAGTACATATATATATATATATATATATATACCTAAGTACCTAAATGGTACATATTGTATTAATACCTCTTGAAATGGTATCGCCACAGTGACAGCTTTTATATCTTTTATTTTCAAGGAGTGTAACACGTCTTCATGTGCCTTTTATAAAATTGCTAAAAGTGCCATGCTTTTGCTACAATATAAAGTCCCAGACTAAGGTCAATGACACATAAGCTTTTTGTGTTCTCAACATTTGAAAACATGCACTAAATAAACATTTGTTATTAAGCATTGTGCAAGCTTAAAAACTAGTAATATTAAAAAAAACGAATAAAAACGTATCATATAAAATGTTTTATAGATATTTTAAAAAATAGTATATGCGATTTATCTGAGCATAGCTAGTTATATAAAACATCCCTGCAAGAAAAACTTTATCATAAAGTGTGTAGTTTTCCCATTCAAAATAGATCAGTCATACTAAATACATGTTTTGAATTAAAACATTTGAATTAATGTCAGTGAGTTTTGATGCAACACCACTTATTTACCTCTTATTACCTCTAAGAAAACATTAAAACCCATTGTGTGTTGTAAACGGTTTAAATCTCAGTGGTAGGTTTATCATCAGAAGTTTATCTTTGCTGTTAAATAATTCCTGCTCGTCACTGTGGATGAAACAAAGGATGAAATGGTTTAAATGAGTATATATAAAATTGAAATAATAGTAGAAAATGGAGAGTTTCACAGCTGATACATTTTCTCTTTTGACTAGCAAAAAGTTAAGTTTAGACCCTGGATGTAGCTGAGAATGACAGAACCTTACTGTCATCTCTGTGCCTTACAAAATAAAGTGTATCTGTCCTCTAAATGGTAGGGTTAACACAGCCGGTTTCACAATATCCTTAACCCCTTAGCCATAAACTGAACGCAGAGTGCCTTAATTTGTCAGAGTGAGCAAGTAAACGAGGAGATCAGCGTGAAGAAGTGAGCTTATAACAGAGACTGGAGTGGGTGAACTCACAGGAGCATGATCTGTGGCTCACTGCTGACTTCAGTCACACTCAGCTGGAGTTGTCTGTGACAGAGTGAAACCACCATGATGGATCACTGGGAAAGTGTGTCAGGGCCACCATATTTTTAGAGTTTAATCCCAAACGGCCTCTCTAAGCCTAGCAACAGGATCAGGACCAAAGAGAGTCAGAGAAAAAGAAATCTACTTGCTAACTGTCTACTGTATAGCACTGGGGCAGTTTGTTCGAAAAAGTCTAGCGCAAGACTTTGTTGTCTAAGTGATACTGTGCTGATCTGGGCATTAAGGCCAAAGCTGTTGGTTTCAGAAAATGTTTGTTTTACTGAATTGCACTGCTAAACAGTATTGAGGGCCTGTGCGAGAGTGTTTTGTGTTAGCTGACCGAACTGTCTCTTACCATATTGGGTCAGCAGCGCTACACCTTACACAGTTTGATCATGTGTATGTCTTCCAAACTTAAACATCAGGTTTTCTTTTACATTTAGTTGCAAATTCTGATTGTCAGCTTGTGACCTTGGTAAAATTGACTGAATAAGCTAAGGTTGAAAATAATTTGTGGCAGCATGAGTAAGACAGTGGTGAAAATGACAAACTAATTATTAATGGTTTTCCACGCATGCCATTATTTTCTGACAATGTTTATGAACTCATCTTGGAGTTTTTGTGCTTCTTGTGTGAATTTCCAGCTACTGATGCAAACTTTGTCTTTTAAAGAAAACTAAACATTTGATGAAAACAAATTTAATGGGTGAAAAATGTAAAATAATTTATTTTTTAATTTTCATAATTTAATATAGACTTGTGTTCAAAACATTTGTAGTTTGTAAGATTATTTTAAAATAAATGAATCCTTTAATTCGGCAAGGATGCATTAAATTTATCAAAAGTGAAAGTAAAGACATTATAATTGTTACAAACGATTCTTGATCTTGAATGGCATTCTTTTGAACTTTATTCATCAAAGTATCCTGAAAAAAATGTTAGTTTTTACAAAAATATTAAGCAGCACAACTTTATAATAATATATAAAGTTTATAATAAGAAGAAATGAGCAGCATATCAGTGATCATGTGACACTGAAGTAATGATGCTAAAAAAAAAATCAGTTTTGCCATCACAAGAATAAATGACATTTCAAAATGTATTCAAATAAAAAATTATTTCAAATAATATTGATGTTTCACAATATTACTGTTTTTACTAAATTGTTTGATCAAATAAATGCAGACTTCTTTCAAAAACATTTAAAAAAATCTTACCAAACCCGAACTTTTGAATGGTAGGGTATGTTCAAATCTAAATTGCATACATTTAACATGATAAGTATTAAAATTGTAGATGTAAAATTATGAATTAGCTTATAATATTAAAGGTGCTGTATGTAGAATTGACACCGAGTGGTTGAACTAGGTATTGCAGTCCAAATTCAAAATATTGGAGAGGGTTTTCTTCACCCGGCCCCTCCTCCTCAGACTTGACGCACACAGGTTGCCAGATTGACGACACAACAGGAACGAGCGCACTTGACGATGAATGAAATGAAATACGCTGTGTTTTCCGCCAACTAGCAACCCGGGATGCCGAAATACAATTGGGTAAACTGGCAGTGGGTGGGTTTCACAAGCCAAAACAGAGACCGACATTCCGGCCTGGAACGCACATTTTCAAAGGAGAATAACTGACTGTGTTGTTTTTCAGATAAACAAGTATGCTAACTTAGCATGTTTCTTAAATATCTGCAAACATATTATGGTATTTTTATGCTTTAGTAGAGTCAAAAACTTACATACAGCACCTTTAAGTTTTAATTAATAAAAATTATTATTAAAAGGCAGGCAAGTAGAAATTTGCTGGCATGAGTGGGCAAACAGAAAAAAGTCCTTGAACTGGTGAGCCCTGATTGAGCTTTATGCATTATGCTAAAAACCTGTGTTGTGAGAAATAATGGTATATTTGAGATGTGCAGGTGTTGTAGGAATAGTATGTGAGCATGTTGCATAATTTATTTCTAAAGAGGGTGTGTGATGCTTATCAGTGATGGTACAGGGGCTCAACATTTTAAATACTGCTCAGAAATTAAAACATATCAGAATGCAAGTGTATCTCGTCCTTGATTCATTCCATAGACTCACCTGCAGACACAAAGAGGATTCCTGCACTGAGGATGATATTGTGACGGGACTTGTAGAACTCGCTGGCAGCTATACACAGGCCACCCATGAAGAGCAGGATGACGCTGAGGATGGGGAAGATACTAGACGCTCGCACGGCTCCTACAGATGGAGAGAGAGAAGAAGAAGGTGGGATGAGTATAAGATGATTTGAATTCCAGACTGTTACTTGTTGAACGAATCTGTGTAAAAGGCAGTGAGAGAGGGAACGAGATAGACAAAGAAAGCTGTCATTTGGGTTGATTTTAGCAGCTGTTCTCCTCTGAGCACATAGAGTACAGCCAATCAACACTTTGCCAGTAGAGTAAACAGCTCCCACACCCTTTAAAATGCTTGTGGAAGAGCAATCTGAGGTCAAGAGTCTCAAAACACTTGTGCTTAACACAAATAAGACTCCAAGACTGAACAGGACCAGAGACATTTACAGATGCTGCAATTCACGCCCATTAACAAAATATGTTCGTAGTGAGACTTCAACAAGAGTTGGCTTCATTCGAGCCATGAAATGACAAGTGAATGTGTTAATGAATGTTTTTTGGACAGACTGCCAAGCCTTCAACTCGCCAATTAGTTCTTCAACTCGACGTTTGTGCAGCTCAAAGGGACAGTTCACGCAAACATTACAATTCTGTCATAATTTTCTCATCTTTTCCTTCTTCCGTGGAACACAAAAGGAGATATTTTGCAGAATGTTTTCCATACAATGAAAGCACAATGACTAGGGGGTGTCATTTTATATTTACATTAGGCAGATGCTTTTATCCAAAAGCAACTTACATTACATTCAAGGTACAGTAGCTTTGAATGAGTTCGATATAACAGACACATTTCATTTAAACTTTTGGCTTCTATATATTGAAACATAATAAAGCAAAAACCAGTAGTGTTTAGTGTTATTTAGAATCAAACATGGTGCAACCTGATCTTTTGATGTACTAACATTCAACTGGTAGAAATATTCTTCAAAATATCTCATTTTATGATCAAAATCAAATCATTTTGGAAAGACCTTGGTGGAAAAATAATTTTACATTTTTAAAAAATCTTTTTTGAGTGAACTATCCCTTTAAGACTGTCAACATCATATGACTCATACACTTTACAGTTCTTTCATGGGTTTATGGGAAGAATTTTGCCTACATTCTTGGCTGCGATGTATTATTATTGGTAGTTTGAGATGATTAGAGGAACATTCTTTGTAGTTGCTGAAACTTTGGCCTCCTACCTCTTGTTTCAAACAGGAAATAATTTTCCAACCATCCACTTCAAGCCTAAAGTGTAAGTGACGTAATTTCATATTTGGGCTGCGCGATATGTCAAAAAATTTAAAATCTCGATTGTTTTCAGAACGTTTGTCCGATTCTCGATTTTTAAAATTTGTTTTTAACTAGTCAACTTGAAAATGTAACTACAACATGATTCAAGTAACTTTTTCTTTATTAACCCTCTAGTTAAAGAAAGTTCTATTCCAAGTGCACCACACATGAAGTTGTCAACATGATGTAAATGTTAAATCACTTGTTAAATATCTTTGCAGAAAATATGGATGAACTACAACTACATCTTGAACAAACTTCTTATACATAATATATGTTCAGAAATAATGAGGAAAATGCTTTAAAAAATCTCAAAAGTCAAGGTAAATCAAATTCAAAATGACTGAAGGTACAACACCAGTAGACTATTATTAACTATAAATGTTCTTTAAAAACAACAGCAGCTTTCAGCCTGTCACCATGATGCAAACATGAAATATCAGACATACAGTAGTAGTTACAGGTTTATTGCGCTGCTTTTCCATAGTTTTTTCTATGTAAACATGGACGCGTATGACTGTTGCCATCATTCTTTTCTCTTTACTGTTATCATTGGCATATTATCAAAGTGTCTAATTCTAACGTTTGGTAATATTTCTATATAAAATTGTGATTCCTCGATTTCTAAAAAATAAAATCGTTGCAAAACATTAAATTCTAATTAATGGATAAAATCGGAAAAATCACCCAGCCCCATTTCATACTGTACGTGTGCAGACAATTTTTTTTATCTTTAGAAAGAACAACAATCTACTGGAAATGGCAACAAAAATAAGAGATTCTGGCAACTGAAGTTTAAACAAGAACAAAAACACTTATCGTTCATAACTTCTGGAGAGAAATAGTGCAGATACTGGACAAATATGAAATTTTCCATGAGTCGAGTGCTTGTGTTTCCACAGGTTATTAAATGGAGTATACTTTGAAAGGCTATGCATCTGGCTGTACACATACTGTGTTCATGTCAAAACTACTATATTATGAAAGTTTCTTTCAAATACTTCAGTGTCGTCATTTTCTCCTGTCCTTTTCTCCTGTCCTTTTCCTTTCACCAGTCTTTCTCAATTTTTACTGCTTACACATCTCTTACCTCTCCTCCTTTATCTCTCTCTCTCTCTCTCTCTCTCTCTTTGAAAATACTTGACATGCAAAGTTATGCTTTCATCAGGCTAGTTAAATTTTCACCACTCCATCTATTCTGCAAGCTCAGCAGTTTTTCTCTCTCTCTTTCTCTCTGTCCCTCCCTGCTCTTGTGTAAATGCTGATGTGTGGACAGCATGACAGTACTGTGAACTCTTGCCGGCTAAAGTGGGGACTGAAGTTCCCCTTGAGAGGATCATCTGCCCTCCTGCCCCTCCTGTCCTGCCCTCACCTCCACCCTAAAACCACTGCACTTGTGCCATCTGCTGCAGATCACACAAGAAGCCAAAGTCAGCTACCACAAAATTGTGTTTGTTTCACTGCTAAAGCAACTATGGTGCATTTAAGCTAATTTCAGTCTATAACAGAATGCCACAAGATCCTACACTATTAATTTATGAATAGTTCACTATGTAAATGCATTGAATATGTGCTTCGCTAAATGGCCATATCTCATTTGCTGCATGTGTTATATAAGGTGAGATTTTTCTAGTGCACTTGCCGCAGTTCTTCTCTCCCTCTCTGAGAAACCTAAACGAGACTTCACTCGAAGTGATGAACGGCATTTTAATTTTCTTGCGCTTTGTTCCGTCCTCCCCTATCGGTCTCTTTCCCTCTGTTTTTCTCTCTATACACTCAATCTAACTGAGTCCCTAATAATTCTCAGTGTCTTGTGCTATCTTTTCCCACACAGCAGCTTTCAGCCTGTCACCATGATGCAAACATGAAATATCAGGCATACAGTAGTAGTTACAGGTTTATTGTGCTGCTTTTCCATAGTTTTTTCTATGTAAACATGGACGCGTATGACTGTTGCCATCATTCTTTTCTCTTTACTGTTATCATTGGCATATTATCAAAGTGTCTAATTCTAACGTTTGGTAATATTTCTATATAAAATTGTGATTCCTCGATTTCTAAAAAATAAAATCGTTGCAAAACATTAAATTCTAATTAATGGATAAAATCGGAAAAAATCACCCAGCCCCATTTCATACTGTACGTGTGCAGACAATTTTTTTTATCTTTAGAAAGAACAACAATCTACTGGAAATGGCAACAAAAATAAGAGATTCTGGCAACTGAAGTTTAAACAAGAACAAAAACACTTATCGTTCATAACTTCTGGAGAGAAATAGTGCAGATACTGGACAAATATGAAATTTTCCATGAGTCGAGTGCTTGTGTTTCCACAGGTTATTAAATGGAGTATACTTTGAAAGGCTATGCATCTGGCTGTACACATACTGTGTTCATGTCAAAACTACTATATTATGAAAGTTTCTTTCAAATACTTCAGTGTCGTCATTTTCTCCTGTCCTTTTCCTTTCACCAGTCTTTCTCAATTTTTACTGCTTACACATCTCTTACCTCTCCTCCTTTATCTCTCTCTCTCTCTCTCTCTCTCTCTTTGAAAATACTTGACATGCAAAGTTATGCTTTCATCAGGCTAGTTAAATTTTCACCACTCCATCTATTCTGCTCCTGTCCTTTTCCTTTCACCAGTCTTTCTCAATTTTTACTGCTTACACATCTCTTACCTCTCCTCCTTTATCTCTCTCTCTCTCTCTCTCTCTTTGAAAATACTTGACATGCAAAGTTATGCTTTCATCAGGCTAGTTAAATTTTCACCACTCCATCTATTCTGCAAGCTCAGCAGTTTTTCTCTCTCTCTTTCTCTCTGTCCCTCCCTGCTCTTGTGTAAATGCTGATGTGTGGACAGCATGACAGTACTGTGAACTCTTGCCGGCTAAAGTGGGGACTGAAGTTCCCCTTGAGAGGATCATCTGCCCTCCTGCCCCTCCTGTCCTGCCCTCACCTCCACCCTAAAACCACTGCACTTGTGCCATCTGCTGCAGATCACACAAGAAGCCAAAGTCAGCTACCACAAAATTGTGTTTGTTTCACTGCTAAAGCAACTATGGTGCATTTAAGCTAATTTCAGTCTATAACAGAATGCCACAAGATCCTACACTATTAATTTATGAATAGTTCACTATGTAAATGCATTGAATATGTGCTTCGCTAAATGGCCATATCTCATTTGCTGCATGTGTTGTATAAGGTGAGATTTTTCTAGTGCACTTGCCGCAGTTCTTCTCTCCCTCTCTGAGAAACCTAAACGAGACTTCACTCGAAGTGATGAACGGCATTTTAATTTTCTTGCGCTTTGTTCCGTCCTCCCCTATCGGTCTCTTTCCCTCTGTTTTTCTCTCTATACACTCAATCTAACTGAGTCCCTAATAATTCTCAGTGTCTTGTGCTATCTTTTCCCACCGTGATGTACCACTAGTCAAACCATATGAGGCCAGGAATTGCCATTTGTACATCTAAATCTGTTTGTATTCACTTCATTTGCGACCAAGGTAAGGGTCTATTCTGAGAATGATTTGTTTGTCACAACTATGCAAGAAAGAATAATGAATATAGACAAACTGAAAAACTCAGTAGAAGCTAGTGATTATTTTCAATAATAAGAAAATAAATATATAGAATTCCTGACCTTTGACCAGAGGAAAGCAAAGCCTTGCCCAGCCTCACACAAAGAATTCAGTCAAAACAAAACTCTGGTGATTCAGTGATGACTGTTTTCCGTTTTTGAAATATTAGACATACAAATAACAATAGTGTGTCTGCATATTTTAA